GTCAAAAAAGGAAGGTGGACGATGGACACTGACACACTTACCCACTAATAAATATAAAGATCTTATCCAAATGGCGCTGCATACTTACGAAAATGAAACGAGAAACAACGATACATGATGATTTTCTCAATTTCAAGAACTATATGATTGGCTCATTAGAATCTTATCAGATTAAAACAAATGCCGAATAGTCAATGAGAGATATACTTCTTCTATCTGCTCTTGATGGAAAAGTCTACCGAGTAAGATTCCTTATGTTTTGATCAACGACAGTAAAGTCTACCAAATTAGAGGGATCTTAAATTCGCCGTACTGTGGTTAGTTAACCCTTTGACTACCGAATAGTAGTAGTAATACTCCATTTCAATAGATTACGTACTAATTTTTATGAATTACATCATGAGAAATATGAAAAAAACAGGTGTAGCTTTTTTTATACTATGGTAGTCAAAGGGTTAACTAAAATTAAACTGAGCCAACAATCTAGTGTGCAATGAATAGGAGGTATTGTGTTTTTTACTTCTGCCAGTCTTCGATGACAGTGTTGATCTAGAGAGTCACGAATTAAAACCAATAGATCGATGTCGGATCTCAACGCATTATAACAACTCATTTCTAGTGACCCATGGACTTGTACTGATAGGATTAACATTTCTTTTATATAAACTTTATTTATCAGTTGAACAACACAAACACAATTGTTGAATTAAATCGATTTTAAAAAGTTTGACAATCGTGTGGACGGCCGAGACCGGTTTCGACCTTGCTTAGCAAGATTTGGGCAACTTCAGAATTCAAGGGTGTCGACAAGAAACTCGCGACCGCCACTTCGTCGCCAAGACGTTTCGTGAATTTGTTAAGTTCAAGCACGGTCATTTGTTGAGCACGATAGACTGTCACTAAGACATGATCCTCTCTGCTGGTTGAAATTGACGGAGACAACGCATGATATTGATGATGATCTGTCGATAGTAATATATATTATCGAGCCGCCGTTTTCAGAGACTAAGATTAAGTGTTCGATGGAAAAAAGTGTCTTGAGTGTAAAAGATGAGAGCGTTCTCTGACCGATAGTTAATCCAAAATTGCCCTATTTTGTTTGTTTCCGTCATAGTCGGGCTTCAAATTATGGGCTCTAGCAGATGTGAAGATAGATATATTCTTGGCAGACATTAAATTAACAAATTTGTCACCTTGGTGGACGCTCATAGAATGACGAAAGTATTTTGTTATTATTACTTTTTTTCAAAATTATTAAACAAGCGATCGACAGTGACGAATTCATAGTGATTGACTAGTTGGTAGAAGTAAAACCATTGGCCAAAGTCGAAATTGAACATGCGATCGGCATTGACGAAGTTATAGATTATGCGATCGGACCGCTGTTGCTAGAGACTGTGATTACGTATTCGATGGAAAAAAGTGTCTTCAGTGTAATAGTTGAAAGCGTTCGTTCCAACGATCATTCGACAATTGCCATATTTGTTTGTTTTCACCATAGACGGGCTCAGGTATAGAGGCTTCAGCTAGAATATTCTTGGGAGAGTAAATAACATGTTAACACGCAGGCTGCTCGTTTGACATGTGTAGTAGTAGAGTTTGCCTAATAGACAAACCTCTACTGCTAATTGCGTTATGGTTTCTCGTCAATGAACAACGCTTTGTATATCAAAACAGTAGTACCTGATAAAAATTGTTTATGCGGTTTGAAAGAAACAGTGAAGCACTATTTACTAGACTGTTCTCTCTATGCCAGTCGGCTAGCTGAACTTTTTAAATCTATAGAAGATTTGATACCTAATGTTCTCTTCAGACTGTTGCTTTTTCATAAATAACTGTGTAAGGATAGCTACAGAGTCTGACAAAGATTTATGGACTCTCTCTGACTTGATTCAACTCGAAGCTAAAAGATCGCTATTTCCCGACAGCCGTTACATCTGAGAAGCTGTTTTACATCGAACGGGTACACTCATCACGTTAAAGTTGGATTATGACAAGATTCACATATGCCAAACACATTATTATCTACTAATCGATTCGTTTAAGCCTAGCAAATAGGGATCTTTTAGCTTTGAATTGATTCAAGTCAGAGAGTCTATAAAGCTTCATCAGACTCTGTAGCTATCAGATGATTGTTATAACTACAATGAAAGGTTCGCGCAGTCATAGAGATAATAAGTTTATACTTTGTGCTTTTTTCTTGACGATGCTTCTATATCAAAAAATTCTTCAGCTGACGAAGTTTGAGAATGAGTATGATATTTATCTTTGTTATGTCATTTGGAGGACGAAGAAGGATGATAACATCACTTTATATAATTACATAAAATTCCTTTCTGTGATGTTCCTTATCAACCAAACATGTACCTGAGTTATGCAGAGAAATCGTGAAGGTCATTCGAAATTCTACAACACAATGAAACTTCAAAAGCTTTATACTTTACGAAGTTGACGCATGCATAAGAGTAAGAGATAAAGAACCCTCACATCCAAAGGCAAAATCGAAGTGTATATGTTTAAATCGGTCCTAACTGGCTTGCTCTGTAATCAGGACTATCGATTTCTTATGAAAAGTGTGTTTTCGTTTATTAGAAATAGATTTTTTAGAAAAAAACTGTGGTGACGGTGGCGATAGCACAGCTGATTGTAGCGAATTTCGGCATGAGGCCCAGGTCTTTAGACAAAGTTTTACGGCTCAATTTGTCGAGAATTGAAAGATCTATAAGATGTCATCAAGTCTAGACGGCAAAAACCTAACAGTCGAGAGATAATTACGTTTACGCGAAGAATTTCACTTTTCAAAATCATGACTTTTTTGCTTTATGTGAATTATAAAAATTCAGTTTCACGTCTAAAAAATGAAAAAGTAGCTCGGTCAATGCAGTTTTATATACTCTTGCGAATGAGACATTGCTTGAGCAGAATGAACAAAATTTGATGGAGTTTGCAAAATACTAGAAACACTGCTTTTTCGAGACATCTTCGAACGACTTCACGAGACTTTTCTGTAAACTCAGTCAAAATAAGGTCTAATATAAAAGTCTAAAAATTTTTTCATTCCCCTAGTTTCATATGTAGAATGGAAGCCCTTATAAAAAGTATAGGTTGCAAATTTTTAAGTGACCTCTTTTTCGCTGGCCTGGCAAACTCTCTCTTAATACGCTCCGCAATTATATGGATCAGTGAAAAGTATTTATACTACAACGATCATTACTTGTGCAAAATTTTGACCACAAGTTGCTGCCGCCTGTGTTTTTTTAGCCAAATTCTCTGTAAACTAGGTCCATAGAATGGCTTATGACTCATCAACATTCAGCTTCAGTTCTCTGACGTTTTAAATCTTCTTTCTTTCTCTTATTATGCTATAGACGTCATGATAAAATGATAATAACCATGTAAATATAACTATTTGTCGGTCAGTAGTATACAATGAATATACTTTTCTCTGCTTCTTAAAATATTACTACTAACGGGTAATACTAACGGGTGATGCGAAAGTTTTTTCCTTTTTTGCTTGCTTCATATCGCAGTCCAGAACTATCGTACACGCTTGCTCTTTCTTCCGTTAGAAAGAGCAGGTTCTGGACTAGAAAATATATAACAACAGTAAGCACTGACTTGTTGGAAAAAGAGATATTATTTTTGCAATACAAACCACTCAATAACCCATTTGTAAAAATCACCTTTAAAAATAAGGATTGCATATTTTGTTTAGTCAGGTTTTTTATTCCTGTTTAGAATTTTTTAGATGCATTATATGTCAATATAGTCGTTGCGATCTGTTCTTTCTTATGGCACCATAATGTGCTATATATATTGCATAATTAGGGTAATCAGTGTGCTTTAGTCGGAAAAACTAAAAAATGTCAACTCTGTTCGAAAATGAACTCAGTAATACTTCATCACTTAAGGCTGATAGTTCTTATCCGAAACAACGTCATCCGATAGTACGTTCCGAGAATTTTCATTTGATGTATGGAATGTTAACTAAATCTTTTTCCTTTATAGAAAATAAACTGTTCTTATTTAGAGGTATTCACAGCGAGGGACAATTTCAAACTAGTGTCATCACTTCTTCACTCGAAGTGTTTTACTTCAAAAACCATCACGAAATTTTCATTTTAATGGCTTCTCTTATCGTTCTGCATGTACACTGCAAAACTGTATGTGAAGTAAATATATTGACTTATTTTCAAGTGAAAAAGAAAAATATTTCGCTTGTACAGATGGGTTATTGAGTGGTTTGTATTGCAAAAATAATATCTCTTTTTCCAACAAATCAGTGCTTACTGTTGTTATATATTTTCTAGTCCAGAATCTGTCCTTTCTAACGGAAGACAGAACAAGCGTGTACGATGCTTCTGGACTGAGGTATAAAGCAAGCAAAAATGAAAAAAAACTTTGTATCATTCATTATCGTGTTTCCGACTGCTAAATAAAGAACGTAAGTAAACTAATACTCGAAGTGTTTTACTTGTAATAACCGATATAGACCACTGTGACTCAGACTAGCATCATAGATCTCAGGTTTAGCCTGCTAACATTGTTATCGCTAAACAACATGGTTTCTAATCTCAAAATAGACAAGTTTTGTGGTGTTCTGTGGCTAAATTAACAAGTTTAAATATTTTCAGATGCTAAAAATACAGCTACCAATTTTGTTTTTGTTGTCATTTTTGATTCTGATTTCCTCATTAACAGCTGCTCCTAAATTTTTTCCATCCAGCGCTCAATGGTTTACCTATGACAATGTCAGGGGTGACCCATACACTGTCTCTTATGATCAACGTGCCATCAAGATAAATGATGTACGTACCATGTTGATAGCTGGTTGTATTCATTATCCCCGTTCTACTCCGGGCATGTGGGATTATTTGTTTAAAATGGCTAAAGCTCAAGGTCTTAATACCATTCAGACGTACGTTTTTTGGAACATTCACGAATATAACCGTGGGCAATACGATTTTTCTGGTAGAGCTAATTTGACACAATTTCTACAGATGGCTGCTGATAACGGGCTATTCATCAATCTGAGAATTGGGCCGTATGTATGTGCTGAGTGGAATAATGGTGGACTACCAGCATGGCTAAACAATGTAAAAGACATTTCGTTTCGTTCATACAATGAGCCATGGTTAGTTGAAATGAAGCGATTCATCGGTGATATCTTAAACTATGTAAAGCCATATTTGGCATCCAATGGTGGTCCGATCATCTTGGCTCAAATTGAAAATGAGTATGGCGCTAATGATCAGAACTACGTTGATTGGTGTGGAAAAGTGGCTGAAGAATTCAATGTTGGAATCCCATGGATTATGTGCAACGGGCATTCTGCAAATAATACCATTGAAACATGTAATAGTTGCAATTGCGTAGACGACGGATGGACGGACAATCATTTAAAACAATTTCCTCAACAACCGTTCATGTTCACAGAAAACGAAGGTTGGTTTCAACAATGGGGTGAAGCGGTAGCGATTCGGGCAACTGAGGATTTGGCATACTCTGCAGCTGAATGGTTTGCTGCTGGTGGAGCTTACCATAGTTATTACATGTGGCATGGTGGAAACAATTACGGTCGTTCGGCCGGATCTGGTATCACTACGATGTACACGGATGATACACCATTGCATTCCGATGGTACCCCAAATGAGCCGAAATACTCCCATCTGGCTAGATTACAACTGCTCATTGCGCAACATGCACCAACGCTATTGTCGCAAGACATACCGGCAAGAACGGCCTTGCCGTATTGGGATGGATCAAAATGGAGTGTGGGCACTCAACAATTTGCTTATATTTATGGTGAGGGTGAAGCTCAAATTGTTTTTGTCATAAATCAAGCTATAATACCCTTGCAAGTTCTATATCGCGACACATTCAACATCACCATGACACCTTTATCCGTACAGATCATCGATCAAAACGTCAAATTGCTCTGGGATAGTTCAGATGTAAGTGGCGTTCATGGTGGAAATAGTATAATTATACCAGTTGTTCAAGGTCCATTACAATGGCAAGTATGGCAAGAACCGATAGGACAAAAGATACCATTCGTTCCTGTCATAATAAAACCTGTCCCTTATGAGCAACTGAATATGACAAATGATGACACGGTCTATCTATGGTATCGTCGTAATATCACTCTTATTGAACCCAACCGTTATGTGGTTGTTGGTGTTCAAACACGTAAAGCTAATGCGATGCTATTTTTTATCGATGGTCACTATTTGGGTGAATTTGATGATCATCAACATAGCCAAGGGAACATAAATGCTCGTGTCTCTTTAGATATGTCTAGTTTTCAACCAGGTGAGCATTTCTTAGAGATTTTGTCCATTTCTCTTGGATTAGACAATGGCGTTTGGGCAAATAACTTTGAATATAAAGGAATTGTGGGTGATGTCACAATTTCGGGTGTATCGATAAAAAACAGTGGACAAGGTTGGGAACATCAAAAAGGACTTGTAGGTGAATATTTACAAATTTATACTGCGGAAGGAACATCAAAAGTTCAATGGAATGCTCAATGGACGAAAGGTATCAACAAGCCAGTTACATGGTTTCAAACAAAATTTGATTTGTCGATACCGATTCAAGATTTAAATGGAAGTCCTCTTCTATTAGATGCTAATGGTTTAACACGGGGACATGCGTACATCAATGGAAATGACTTAGGTCTCTATTGGTTGATTACGGGCGAATGCTCAGATGATCCACCGTGTTGTTGTCAACAAGCACAAAAGAACTGTATGACACCCACTCAACGTCTGTATCATATACCACCCGATTGGTTACAAGCAAAAGATAATTTATTAACAATTTTTGAAGATTCAGGTGCACAATCACCAGGTTCAGTTAGTATTGTAAGAAGAATTATCACATCGTAGGACGCATAGAGTAAGTTTACATAGTTTCTTTTTTCGTAGCACATTATCTATTTTTTTGTAATTTCTATTAATTTTTGGAAGTACCAGTATAAAAACAAATTGATTCTATCAGAGTGGTATATACAAAATATAAACATCATTGTATTTTCCAAACAAATCCGCCAACATCATAATTTTTTCGATAATCGAAAAGGTAGATTGTATGAATGAATAACTGAAACATACTTTTCAACAGATTTTATGTTCTCTCAGTTTAATCGTGCCTTATAGTTAGGCTGCCATATCAGCGTAATTTCATTAATGTTTGTTCTCTGTACTTTAATACATGTTTTATCATGTTATTTAAAGTGGAAACTAGCTGACCAACACGTTCTCTTGAAACTATTATCTGAGCATAAGTTTAGCTGAGCCGCATATAGAGAAGGCTTACGAGGAAAGATCGCTAAGTGTCCAATTACTTCTGGAATAGAACTTTAGTGGTGGATCGGAAAAGATCTGATTTTCTCTCTCCATGTAACTGGATCCCTTCGCACTGGAGAGATTCGCGCGACGATATAGTCACCACTAATGTTTCTTCAGTTTCATCAATAAAGTGAAAAGAATTGAATTTTTTCTAGCTCGCTTTCAAATGTTTCTCATCTTCGATACGATAATTTACCCAGCTACATTGAAATATAATTCGACTGTAGCAGAGTCAAAACACATTCGACAGTCATCAAAGCTTAGAAAAATATGTAACTTCACATATTTTCCAACTGGAATAAATCAAGAATTGGTTTTGAAGGAAAAGTATTTCACTCTAGAAAACCCAATCTTTTATGGCCACATTCAGAATGAGTATCAGTGATCATTGTGATCCCATGTCCTCTATTCCAGAAGTGATTGAACACGTTGGGCTTATAGAGAGAAACAGGCTACTTTTGAGTGAATATAAAATTATTTTCGACGAAAAGCGTACAGTAATAGCTGATACTATTCGTCCGTAGTGTAATATGTTATTTAATGTTATTATATTATTACATTTTTCTTTTAGCTCTTGCTATGCATCCCAAGTAAAAATTGGGTCGGTTTTGCTTGGGCAGATCAAATTGTTTTACCCTTAATAATTCTGTTCTATCATTCACAATTAGCGATGATAACAAGTCTCAGATGTCAAGTACAAAATATAATTCATGCAAAACGCGTAACTCTGCTACCGAACTCTCTGTGCATTACCATTTTTTCTCTTTTCGTCTATCCTATAATATTTGGAAAGAATATTGGTAACGCACAGAGATTCTGGTAGCAGAGTTACGCGTTTTGCATGAATTGTATTGTTAGTCGATTTGTTTCCTCATTATCGTAGCAAGTTGAAATTAAGAAGATAAACTATGTTGCATTCGCAGATAAGTTCATTACCCGTTCCCAGAAATCAATCGAGACATTAATAATTAACGACAAAATATATAAAAGTAAAGAATCCGATACACGAGATAAAACTTATATTGAAGTTCTATTTTAGAGATAAGATTATGACAAAAAATGTAAGTTATTGCTGGTCATTATCAAAAATTTGATACAATAAATATGGGCACCTATCATTCAACGGTTAGAATAGAAAGATAGAATACTGTTGAAGATGTACAAAAGGGAAAGTGCTCTCGATATCAACTTATCTTTCGTAAATAATTTCGAACACAAATATGTTTAAAGGCATCAAAATACATTATAATGTCGTTGCATTAGTAGTAGGCATATGTAATAGCTGCGCATGAATAGAGTAGTATCTAGATGAAAAATATCATATTCGGAATCAGGATGAAAAAATGAATCGACTGATGTGTATCCTATCCTATTCGAGTACTTTAGTTTTTTTCGAATTTTCACGTTGAAAAATCATCAAGATTTTCGCCCAAAACTGAAATCAGCTAAAAGTTTCGAAATACAGATCAGTCGACTGCGTTTTTGATCCTGATTCTAAATATGATATTTTTATTATATAAAAGTTGAGTTCTGATCGAGAAAATTGAAAACTACGGACAGAATTCCGACTTTTTCGCTACTGATTTAGAAAAAACGAATTTTCTCAGCAACGAAACAAAATTTGAAAAAAAGCGAGTTATACTTTTGAAGCCGACACTTCAGCAAATATAATGGGATTTAGATCTGAAGAAGTGTTTTAGGGTCTATTTTTAATTGTCTGTCCATATATGAAATTTATCGATATACATTATGAGTTTGAACGCTTAAGAAAAGAATAGAAATGAAGACGAATTACATTCAAACCAGCAAAAAAAATTTGGGACTCAAAGGGTTAAATACAGTGTCGTTAAACTCTGCGCATCAAGGAAGATAACGCGAAAATGAAAATGTAACTGATTTTTTACAGGAACAGGTAATATTTCCTGTTGAAAATTACGTTGAATCAATAAACCCAAACAGGATCTTAAAAGCGACCTTACACCGAGGAAACTCACAATTGTGATGATAAAGATCAGCCATTTGGTGCATGTCTCACTTTTTGTGCATTTTCATTTGAAGATCTTACACAGTCAATATTTTATTATTAACTGAGCCTACACAACGACGAAAGGACCTTAGATTCGGTACATTATCTGAGAAGAAAGATCTTTCAACTGTTGATAAGAAAGATAGTTCAATTTTGTGACAAAAAGATGCAGGACGATTTAACTCTCTCTTCCCTCGTCTCAAATTGTTGTGTACTTACCTCGAACTTAAAGGTTCAAATTATTTAATTTTTTATCCGTTTCTATTGACAAATCAGTAAGAAAACGCAGGTTAAACCATGCAAAAAATGTGAGTAAAAATGATCTTCATCTTCACAGTACGTTAAAAAAAGAAGAACGGCTGTGTATACAACCTGCATTATTCTCTTGAATGTATATGAGGTTCACATATCTGCTCTATACACTAACATGTCCAGTCTATTTCTATACAGTCACACTGGAAGAACGAAATCAACATTTTGAATTTCATTTGTCAAAGCAGATCAAAACGACCAGAAAGAGAAAAGTTTGGCTCAAGAAAGTCAAGTACATGAGATATTCAAGCGCTTGAGATAAGAATCAGATGCGCATGAGTTTCTTGAGATACGAAACTGAAGCACATGAGTCGAGAAAGTCAAGCGAGAAAGTCAAGCGTTTTTGATCCTGATTCTAAATATGATATTTTTATTATATAAAAGTTGAGTTCTGATCGAGAAAATTGAAAACTACGGACAGAATTCCGACTTTTTCGCTACTGATTTAGAAAAAACGAATTTTCTCAGCAACGAAACAAAATTTGAAAAAAAGCGAGTTATACTTTTGAAGCCGACACTTCAGCAAATATAATGGGATTTAGATCTGAAGAAGTGTTTTAGGGTCTATTTTTAATTGTCTGTCCATATGTGTTCAAAACTTTCTATGACTTTTAGTTACACAGCAGTAAGTGACTCTTTAAGACACATCAACATTTTGCTTGGACGACAAAAATTTGACATTATTTTATTGTAACTGTTTATTCGGCTTCAAATTAAACGAATAAGCTTCTTTTTTGTCTACCAGTTTTGAGAGTAGATTTTTCTCTAAAAAATTTAATGTTTGATAATTATGATGCTCGAAAAACCAACCTAGGCATGCACCTGGTAAAAATCGGTTTTCGTCCACTATGTATAGGATATAAATCAAAATCTAGTTCGGGTTTATTGGTTCAACGGAATTTTCAACAGGAAATATTAATTATTCCAAAAAATCAGTTACATTTTCATTTTCCCGTTTATCTTCCTTGGTGCGCAGAGTTTAAAGACACTGCCGTAGTGAAAGTTCTCATACAATGAGTACGACTTTACTCATAATTCGTCCATGAGTACTCATATTAGTACTACTAACGATTTTAAAAGTGTTGTTACTCAATGAGTATTCATTTACTCATGTGAGTACTCAGAAAATATTCATTCACCGTTTTATTTTGCTAGACTGAAACTGTATAAAGAACGTAGAATTTAGTGAAGAAACACAGAATATTTATATTACTATTTCCTCACTGGTCTCTCTGTATATAAGACTGGACTCGTCTATGACTAGACTTGTAGTCCTACTCTGGCCACCTGCGATCGATCATTCCTCTATATAAAAATATCAGATGAACATTACTCATGAGTATTTTGTCATAACTTATGAGTACTCAACAATAGTCAAGCATGACTACTCAAAGTCGTATCCACAGTGCTCGTTACTCGCTCATGACTCATGAGTCATGAGTACTCAATGAGTGAAAAGATGTGTGAATACTCATGAGTACTGTGGACATTTTTCAGCAGAGTACGGCTTTGAGTACTCACGCTTGAATACATTCACTAGCGTGTAGAGTATTTGAAACAACTGAGTCAGAAAAACGTCTGTAGGCTGAGTTATTATGAACTTTTTTCGACATGGACCTTTCTATATTTTTACTGCTTTTTTCTAGGAAATTAAGTGAATTCAAAGTCTCAAAATATTCAACACGTTTTCCTCTCCAGTATGAGACATTGCAGAGTTCTGGACGTATCCTCATTCGAGAACTGTATAAAAATAACATGCAACAGAACGTCACGAAACTGCTGATCAGCGTAGCAGAGCTACATGAACCAAGCTGTACAGTAAGATGCCCGTTTCCAGACCGTGATTTATGGTGAAATAAACGACAAACGCCATTTAGTCGGTTAAAAGTCAATTGTTCCGTATTGCAGTTAACAGACTATGCATGAGTTATCAAATGTCAGTTTTCGCTGACTTGGGGCCGTCGAGAAGCTCCCGAACCGTTTCATAGCGTGCATTAAGAAACATCTTTCACTTGTAGTAAACAGAGAAGACCTGCTACAACGAACAAATGAAAAATTCCTAATTTCATTCTCAGATTTAACCTGATATACTTGGTAAAGATTGAAAGCAAGATTAAATAGATTGAAAGATCGAAAACAAAGACTGAGTAGACTTTTAACCTCATATACCCGATAAAGATTGAAAACGCTTAAAGAAATCTACTCTACCACTGTGTGTGCACGGAGCTGTTGACTTCCTAAAACAAACAAAAGTTGTTACTGGAATCGTTGATCGTCTATTTGCGCAACGTCCAAATAGACTGTCACTTCAGTGGGTGCGACAAGCAGATTATCAGAAAAAAGCAATCTTTATTTACCCTAGCGACCTCCACGCGCCTCTGCTTTAAACTTCTAATCAGTTTCACATGAATAGTGAACGTACGACGCTAGTAAGACTACTAACTAATGTGCCTGGATGGTTCAATGATGATCGAGCGTATTCGTCTGGTAGGGGAATAGACCAAGTTCAACTATCGATAGGAACAGAATTTTCCTAAGACACACTAAAGTGGCTTCGAAAGAGTAGTTGAAGTACAACTAGATGCAATCCGACTTACGTGTTTTTATGCGACTATATTTAAGACACTATAAAGTGACTAACACGTGAAGCCGCATCATCTGTCTTGAAAAGAGATAGGAAAACACGGTGTTGAAAAGCTTAGATTTATATATCGACTCGTTTAGCGCTCGTACTTATAGAATAGATGCGACGTCTACCTACGGGCATGCTCGCGTCGCCACTGCATCGAGCTCTGTAGTCATATTTAAAATAAAATAAACTGACAGTCTGAAGAGTTTCTTTTGTACTCGATCTAATCTAGTTTTAAATATCAGTTCCTAGAAACTCTCGACTAATATTGTCAACGGTAATTTCTGGACATCATAGTTGAACGAGCGACATAGTACTCACCGTATAACTGCAATCGGTCAAAAGGTCACACATATAGTACATACTAGTGAAATAGTGGAGAATATGAGAGAGAGAGAGAGAGTAACGCATATGAGAACTAAGGCAGAAAAAAGTTTTTTCCTCTCTTCTCTTACTTTTTTTATTCATATACACATAAAACAACGACAACTAGTAACGATTAGTACACTCACATAGACTTACGGTAGTTTAAGAGCCAAGTTTTTCAGAAATGGCTGTGAATCTGCAAACAAACAAAACACCAAGATATTGTCTTTATCGATCGTTTGTCGACGCTTTTATGATCAGTGACACATACTAGAATCTATACTGCATGCGTTCAGCTGTTCATATGACTCCATGTGAGAGTTATTGACAGCCGAGCGATCAGCTATTTTGAAAAGCTGGCTCGCAGATCACAAGAGCAAGGATCTTGATGTGATATCGACGACTTTTCTTCCGTAATTAAAGTGTGAGCTATAATCGTAATGAGTGACGAAGAATGCCTGAGAATAGAACATTTTTGTCTTCTCGCTAGCGAGAACGTGGGACGATATTTTCAAATCATCTGTGGATAAACTTTGTTTTTAAAATATTATGCAGTTAAACTGCTTGAGAGAATGTGTTCACAGATGACAAGCTCAGTATCTCCAATCAAGCAGTTGAAACGAAACATTTCATATAGAAAGATCCTATTTTCATCACCAGCTGACTCGATAAAATAAAACTTTCTATGTCCAGCAAAATCCATGGTGAAACCCATAGTCAGTCTGATCATCCGCAGTGGGTGCTGCTGTGTATTTTACTGCGCGAAATAGAGGTTTTCAAGCAGAATACACTCATTTCCACTTGTCATCCTTCATCGCTGACAAGGTTTTCGAATACATTTGTTAAGATCGCTCACCATAGTGCACAAGACGAGTGGAATGCCATTAAGAAAAATGAAGAACAGGTGCAAGAGAAAATTGAAGAATATTTGGAAACTTATCAACGATCCGGTGCCGCTGGTCTACCCGATTTAAATCAGCCATCGCAGCCAAAAAAGAAAAAATATCCAAAGAAGAAAAAATCAAAAAAACGAAAACGTTCTGATAATTCAGACATTGACGAAGCACAAATACCCATCATTGAAGTCGAAACAGCTATGACCACAAGAAGTCAAGCGGCTGGTGAGATCCTCAGACAGTGAAGCTATTCACTTCACCAACTTTTTCCTTGTAGGAAACAACGATGAGTTCAACTGCCCACCATCAAAAATCTCGACATTATCGGTCATCACCCCCAACATAACAACGGCACAACAGAAACAATTACAATCAAGAAAAGCGAAGAAAATTCGTGCACCAGCTCAAGAACTCGTCTCCATCGAATTAACTGAAGTGAACGAAAAAATCGTCAGCTTAATTCAGTTGAAAAATATGGGTTTAGCGACTGACGAGACGAAGAAAAACTTGAAAAAATTATTTGTTGAACGAAAGAAAAAGTCAAATGAACTCAAACGCTTAAAAGCAGAACAAATACGAAAATCAAAATTTCGTCAAAAGAAGAAGCAAATTGTCGAGCAATTGTGCGAGAAAAATCCGGAGATTGCTGGTGAATTAAGCAAAATTTATCGAACGACGATTGGGCGGCCACCTATCGAAGAACAATGTCCAGATCTGCTGCAAATTATCGAGGAAATAGCCAAGTGTGGTGGTGCAAGTGATGATAAGCGGCGATCGGAACAGATACGACCATGTTTGACATTAGATGATTTAAGAGAGAAAATTAAACAACGTGGCTATGATATTAAACGATCGACATTGTATTATAGGTAGGTTGAAGATAGTGATGCTCTCTCATTAAGACACCACTCGTCTGATAACTACACGAGTCAGAGCCTATATTTGGTCGCTCGTGATCAGAGTTGATTGTACGCTATGATGTGTTCACTCATTTGATACTTCTGTGTTCAAATGTCTTTGGCAAGCTCGTCCTTTAAAGGACGAAATCAGACGAAATCTTATAAGATCTTATAGTAAGAATCTTTGACCTGGCTATATGTAATAGAATTTCATTCTTTTTGGATTGATTAATGTCCAAGAAGATCAACTATTCGGCAGTTTAGAACTGATTTTAAATAGACAGCCAAATGTTCTTATCGCTTCTCAATGACTTTCGCTGCAAAATATTAGCAACTTCAAATGAGATTTTAGTTTCTGACAGTTTCTCGTTTCGTCGCTAGAACAATCTATTAAAACTAGATTGGAATGAGTTTTCTATGTCTAGATTATTACCACGCCGTCCAACATCCATTGATGGTCGTCGTCATGTTCGTACGGTACCCGTTCGCCTTCGTCGTGCTCAAAACAACGATCATGGAAAGCACGAAGGTACGATGTAGTCTAAGAGTTTCTTACAGATTGTCTCCATGTTTTGTTGTGTTCAGACGGCCATTTTGCGACAGCCACCATTCGTTACATCAAAGATCTGGCCGGTATATTTGGCAACGATGTCGTGTTTTTCCTATCACAAGATGATAAATGTAAAGTGCCCATTGGATTGCCAGCTGCCAAAATTCAAGCGCCAATGCTAATGCATTTGGATTATGCTGTTAAATTACCTGATCACGATTGGACCGTTGCACCGAGACATCAGTTGACACCATCGGTTTATGCCGCATGCGTCATTAATCCGGATGGTGATGTCGGTTATTCGGGACCGACGTACATTGCCGTTAGATCAGCAAAACACGATCGTTCTGATGCACAATCGCATGCGAAAGATTTCGATACACTCGTGCAGTTGAAAGAATTCGAAAAAGTTTGCAGAGATTTCAATGGAAATTTAAAACCAATTGTAAGTATAGGAAACAATGCGTTTTGAAACTATTTAATTTATTCACCGTAGGTTATTGTTACTGTTGATGGTGGCCCAGATGAAAATCCTCGTTTTCCCAAAACATTAATGGCTGCTATCCGAAAATTTCGTCGATATAATTTGGATGCTCTGTTCATATTGACTCATGCTCCGGGACAATCAGCGTACAATGTTGTTGAACGACGAATGGCACCATTATCACACGATTTAGCCGGTCTCATTTTGCCACATGATCATTTCGGCACACATTTGAATGATAGTGGATTGACGATTAACACCGAGTTAGAAAAGACAAATTTTAAAAAAGCAGGTGAAGTGTTGGCAGAAGTATGGCGAGGATCGGTAATCGACGAATATCCAGTGGTAGCTGAATATATTGATCCGCCAGCAACTACGGACAATGAACGACGAATGGTTGATGTCACATTTGTTATGGATAGTCTGCTGAAAGCGTATGTAACATTGATGCTTATCTGTGAGAGAATAATATTTTTTATGGGTAATTTTAGCATCTGTTCGGAAGAGGAAGCGGAAGAAGGACATGAATTTCGCATTCACGCCTCAGATGAATATTATCAAGAAAAGGCGCGTGTTCGACAAACAATGAATGATGAGGAACCAATAATGCAAAATGGAAAAGAATATCCAAAATATGACATTGACGAATACTGGTGTGCTACTCACGTTCTACAAACACAGTACACGATACAAATTGTTCGATGTAATAACGTCTTGTGTTGTGGAAAATGGCGATCAAATTATGTACAAATATTCCCACATCGTTTCTTGCCACCACCAGTGGCATTTGAACGAACACCATACGGTAGGTCACTCTTCATGCTATATTGATTCACTGACTCTGATTCGCTTGCTCTCATTTTAGGTATCCAAATGGCTGATAAAGATTCGTTGAAAAACCAATTTTATGGTTCACTGTTCCACCGTATACAATTTCATGGCGTTGTTATTAATCATACAAAGAATGACATGTTACCATTTGACTATTGTTGTTCGTCGGTTAAAAAAGAACTGAAAAAACGTATTTGTAAAATATGTAAACAATATATTCCATCGGCATATAGAATGAAACAACACTATAAAATACATCAACAATATCAACAAGATTCAGATGAAGAAGGAGGTAGGAATCGTCTTCTTGACTACTTTTCTAATTGATATCAAAGTTATTCTGTCTTATTTCAGGTGCAGATGATTTATCTGATTTGATGGCTACGAGTGAAAAACAAGCCACCGAAGCGAGTATACCGGAAGGTGCCGTCGTCTTCAACGATATGTTAGACTGGTTAAAATCTGATTTTGAAGAATTAGATTTAGAACAAAAGGCATTACAAAATTCAAAAACGACATCGAAACGAGATAAATCATCGGTCAAACAACCCTCTAGCTCGACGAAACAGTGGACAGGTGAACAACTGTCACAGTTAAAGTTGAATGGGAATGGCCCATATGATGAGGAAGACGAACAACAGGAGGCGGAATGTGGTGAAGAAGTAAATGACGATGATGATATTGATGCTGAATGGGCAAAAGTGGATATTTAATATGTGTAACAGAACTACAGTGTACAGGTTTTGAGAATACTATGTCCTCTTATACGGAACGAGAAGGCAAAAAAGCGTTGGCACTTCAATAAATCTGTTTTTTCAGTGAAAGTTACAAGCATTTGTCAACTTCAGTTTGATTTGAAAATTGATCTCTTCGGGAGGACAAATTCTTTGTTGTTCTTTTATTTGACTAAAAATTTGTGTTTGTACATTTCGAATGAACCATTGTGAATGATTCGCAATTTTCTGTTGTCAATTTCAGTTTTTGTAGTCACTAGAATTTTTCTTTTTATGCATATATTTAACAATTAGATGGTTTCTCTAATTTATTAAATTGTTTTAAGTATTTTAGCTATCTTTTTCTTGTTTTTCATATTTTAGAATAGACTTCGTTCATGCTTCTTTTTCCAAGTAGTTTTTTATTTGTGTCAAAAAGTGATCTGTTTTGCCAATGACGAATTGTGTTTTACATAATTTTTTTACCACAAAAACCAAATGTTTTGTGTCTTTCCAATTTCCATATTCGCTATGAGCAGTATGATTGTAGTTGCTGTTTGACAACATTGAAAAGGGAAATAAGTTTCTGTCCAATAAGAGAGCTGACAAAGTGTTGGCATTTTTCTATAACACACCTTGCCAGAGGTTCGGAAATTCTTGTGTTTTAAGAGTACACAATCTCAACAGATGGTTTTATTACCCAAGAACACGGATAAATAATTAAGAATCAGACCTGAGAATTGACTGCATAAGCAGAGAGACTCTCGAGACAAAAGAACAAAACACCACTTCATTCCTATTCCACCGTGGCTTAATGAATATAATCTTCAACCGAAAGCTATCAAGCCTGAAAGACACTCAGTAAAACAAAAAGAGTATCCTCCGAAGATGGATTTTCAAAACTGGTACTTTGTGATTCTCTCTGGGCTTCCTTGTTAAGTTTGAAAGAGTTCTGGAAAGAGCACTCGCGAGTGCGAGCTTTTCAAACACGAGTGTGGATATCTCAACAAACTTTAAAGTATCATTGATAACTAGTGGATGCAAAAATGGTTCCAAGTCAACTTTCTTGAGCTCAACGTGGGTGCCTACACGTTGTTTTAGAAATGGCCTCATTCTCCTATGCTATGCCAATCAAGTGTATGAGAGACGAAAGTCAGGCACATACGTCAAGCGTTTTAGATGAGTTAGAAGCTCATGTGCATGGAGACAACTCTTTAAGTATCGCATGTCATATTTGAAAAAAACTTCGCTATAGCACTTAGTAACATTTTCAGAAATGCTTAACAATCTTTTCGACGGTTTGACGCTGATTTAGCAAAATATTTTTATGTTTTTATTTACCGAATCAGGGTTTACAAACCTAATAAGAAGGGTTTTCGAAGGAATATTAGAACCCTTTCAAACCCAACAAGTGAACCCAGAGAGTATCGAAAAGTGGCATTTTGATAATCCATACTTGGAAAAAGATTTATATAAAATATT